TCGTACTCTTGGAAGTAAGTAGTGAATTAAGACTGTCATGAATTGGATTGCAGATTGTCTAAGGATAGACATGGCAATAGAATTGCTGCAATGTTCATGAGTACTCAGAAATTGAGATTTGAGTATTGGATAAACCCACGCTCAGAGTATTACTTCATGGAATTCATCACGAGTAATACTGAGACGATAATATCTTATAATCTTGAAACGAAGATATATGAGTTGTAATTTACAAGTCGGTTGTGCATTGGTGATACGAAAACGCATCAGTAACTTGGTGTTATAAAACGTATTGTCATGCATAATTTGATGAGTAAAAGATACAAGCATATGAGTCAACGTTTATTCGTTCCTTTTGCCCTAACAGGAAAAGCGATATCTGTGGGCCCCTCGATGATTTGGTGTTGACTTATGTGCTGGGCCCAGCCAGGACTAAATTGATGTGTTCGATTAGAAGTCCTACATCATCACAAATCAGGAATCGGGAAACATAGATTCTGGACAAACAGATTGATTACATTCCATGTCTTTTGTCTGGGGATATCAAGCAGAACGAAGGGTTATATGATCACTTATCTTAGGACACGTAACTGACTGGGTCAGAGTTCGGCAGCAGCTTTTGGAAGCTACAATTTGCTGGTCAAATTTAGAAGGCATACTAGCAATTATAGTTACAGACTTATCCAAGTGGGAGACTGTTGGATTAGGTGTCTAAGCCCATAACTATAATTGGTATGTACTTGAATTGACAGCAGCACAGTCCTTTTGGGTTGCCCTCAACCTAGCAACTGGACAAGGAAATTATGAAAGGAGAGATATTAATTTATAAGATTAATAATTAATATATATATAAATGATTTATTAATATGTTAATGGATTAATATATTAATTAGAAATCATTATGTTTAATTAATTGTTAGCCAGAAATTAATCAGAATTGATTTTGGGTTAAAAGAATTAATTATAAGGTGCAGGGACTAGTTTGCAATTATCTAATAGTTGAGTGGAAGGCTCTAGAACCCCCTTGGAAGAGGGTGGACGAAATCTTTAGGGGAAACCCTAATAATTTCGTCCATAGGGGCTTGGATAAGGCCCTTGGGTTTGCTTAGGCCCTAAGCAAAGGATAACTAGGGTTTCCCTTAAACCCTAGATCCCTCAGCTATATAAGGAGCCTCCTGGTTCATGTTTTTGTCACTCTTTCTTTTGAAGAAACCCTAAGGCCGAGATTTTGCATACTCCCTCTCCTCTCTCTCTCTTCTATTTTCCTTCTTGCTAGTTTGGGTGTGACTCCATTAGAGGCATTACACTTGTGGTGCTAAAGCTTCCAAGAAGATCAAGATCAAGATCAAGGGAATATCAATTGTTTGCTATAACAATTGAAAGGTATGTAAACCCTAAACCCTAGTTTACTATTTTCGATAATAGCCTCTCTCCTCTAGGGTTCTTGTATTGCAATTCAAAGTTGTATGTTCAATAGTTAAAACATAGATCCAAAGTAGGTTGCATGTGAACTTAGGAATTGTTTTTCTAGTTTATTTGTTGTACCTAAAACCCTTCAATAGTTTCCTTGGGCCCATTATGGCTTCATTGGGCCCACTAGGGTTTTATGCATCCCAGACGAATCAAACACACCAAGGCGAAGCACACCGCCACCCGTCACGGCGGCTGGTGGCGGCAGCCACCACCCTACGTTGGTGGTGACGGATTTTTCCTTTACTATTCCGATTGGTTACAATTTACAATACAATCCAAATACACACACACTAATACCACACACACGCACACTAATAAACACACACACACACACACACAACCACCCTAGTGGTGGCCGGCGGTGGCAGCCACCATGGCTGGCGGCCATGGTGGTTTTCTTCTCCATTTCCCGTCCATCAAAACACACACACGATATACACAGCAACGGAAGAACATCCACCTCTTCTTTTGCTTGAAAAGGGGAACCCAATCACCTACATGAGGTGGGCGGCGGCGGCAGCGGTAGCTTCGTCTTCAACGGGACAGCTCATCGACGGGTCGTCACAGTGCTACGGACGAAGAAGAAGCAGCGAAGGGCGGCACCGACGACGTGTTCGACGACAAGACAGAACGAGGAGGGCGCGCTTCAGAGAATGACGACATGCAGTCGCGGCGTCGACCTATATCTGTCCGGGGATTCATCGGCGGCCACTGCGGTGGCGTGGGTTGGTGGCCCACGACCTCACCGGCGGAGGGAAGATGGCGGCTGGAGGCTTAACTCCAAAGAAGTGGAAACGAGGCTTCAACCGGGAGTAACAACGGCGACAACCCCGGTGACAGCTCCGCTCACCTGACATCCAATACAACACGACGTCAGCCAGAGAGGGGCTACCGCCAGCCTCAAATCGTCGGTACAACAGCGTATTCGATCTTGGTGGGTTGTTCCGACCGTTCACGACGTCATAGTCGGCATGGGCTGTGATGGTGGTGCTCGATGACACAGTGCTGGAGGAGTGGGGCGGCGGTCGGACTTAATGAAGCAGGCGGCGGTCGAGCCTGTCTTCAACAATGGTGGCGGCTCCAAAAATGGTCTCTTAAGTTTAGGGTTTGTTAAGTTTTCTTTTTTAAATGAGGGGGAAGAAGGTGACGGGGAAGGGAGCCGGGTTTAAGTCCCGCTCCATACAAACTTAAACGCATTTTACATATTTGGCCCCTCCACATGAAATCTTTTCAAAATAAATCCAATAGTTACCCAACAGCCCCTCCTTCTACAAAACCTTTTCAACATAGGTCCAAAAGTTACTCTTTAGCCCTTATTTCAATAAATTCTTTACAAACTAAGTCCCAAAATTACACTTTACCCCTGGAGGTTCAAATCTTGTCGTTTAGCTTCCCAAAACCAATTCCCAACTAATTATTATTAAATTTTTGGACTCTAATAACATAAAATAATAATAAATTACTTCTCGGGGTTACAGGTTTATTATTTAATTATTTTATTTTAAATGGGATGTTACACAGCACCCAGAACCTCTCCATAAGGTTGGAAATGGATTTTTTCAAAAAGTCATGAAACTACGTTAGAAATAGAAACGAAGTTTCAGAAGAATTAAGAAATCTATAAAATCTCATATCACAAATGAATAGGAGAAATACAACTTGCTTAAGAACAATAATAAAAGATGCAAAATCAGAAAATGGTATCAATGAAAATCAGATGAGTTTTGATATTGAGATAGAATTAAGATATACCTTCTATATTTGTCTGTGTGGAATCGCCTCCTTCCAAATACTCATCCTTATCTCTACTATAAACCAACCATCAAATAAAGTTAGGGTTTTTCTTATAGGGTGACAACGACAAAATCAGATGAATGGAACTTCAAAAACGTGAACAGGGCAAAGGAGCTACAACGAAAAAAAATTCAAATAGAATAATAATCAAGTTAAAGACATACATACACAAACGTTAAGTCGAGTCAACACCGATGAACACAACTGCGACGATTTGTTTTCACTCGAGAGCCGACGATTCCAACAGTAGTATTGGCGATTTTGTTAGTGGGTTTGTTCTGAAGCCTTCCATCTCATATTGGAAGTGCGGGTGAGAGTTGTTGGTTCAAAACTCGATCATCAGATAGATGTTAGAGGTTGGTCTAGTTAGAGTGCATGTATAGGTGTCGGAAAAGTTAGGGTTTGGCGGGAGATGGAATAGCCAGAGGAAAACTGATGAAGCTAGTTTCTTGTAGCCGACGGTGACACAAATAAGAAAAGTGGGAAGATCGATAAGAATAAAAGGAAGGTGCATCAGCGACAAAAGCTAAACTGTAAAGCTTTGAGAGAATCTGAAGCAGCCGATGGTTTTGTGGTGGTTGTGTTTAGAAGTGACGTTCAGAAATGGATGGATCTAGAAAAAAAATCATGGGAAGCACAGGAACCGAGGCAGAACCGGTTGAGGGAGACGTGGGAGCGACACGTATCAGCCCCATCCTTATCTTTACAACGCTTTACACCACTGTTAATAATTTCAGGGACCAACTTGCCAATATCACAAACTTTAGTGCCAAAAATCTGAACCACTAAAAATATGAAAACTTATGGACCAGTTTTGCCAAAAGACCAGCATGTTCACTATTCAATGAGTTGGTCATCTTTAATATATATATATAGATATATATATATATATATAATATATATATATATATATATATATATATATATATATATATTATATATATATATAGGGAGAAGATCAAATGAGAACACCTAAAAGGTTGAGAACGCGAGAACAATTCTGGACCAATCAATATATAAAGGTATACTAGTAATTGTATATTTTAATTAAATTAAAATAAAATAAAATTCAATCAAATTCCCTTAAATTTAGGATCAGTTACCAAAAAAGAAATAAATATTCAATTTTTTATTTTTCTTATTAATGGAATATAAAAAACATTTTTATCAAAATTTATTTTAAAACTGAAAAAAAATTCTTAAAAAAATCAAATTTTTTTCTCCTATTTCACGTTTTTTTTTGTGTTCAAAAAAATGAATAGAAATCGAATACCAATTAGTAGTATTCATAAATGATTTTTTTTTCTGAACTACCAATCACAAATAAATGCACATCAATTTACAAGTAATCCAATTTCTTTTTTTAATCAATTGAAAATAAAAAAGTGTAAAAATTATCATTTCTCCATAAAAAGAATACCTCTAATCATAAATAAATATACTCATTAACACATGCTTACACTGTTATTCACAAATGAATACACTGTTATTAACAAATAAGTACCTTGTTATTCAGAATTGAATAAATGAATACCTCTAATCATAAATAAATACATTCATTCACTATTATTCACAAATGAATACACTGCTATTCACACATGAATTATTCATTCACTGTTATTCACACATGAATGCACTGCTATTCACAGATAAATATAAATTTTCATTCTTCCATTTCCTCTCACACTCCCTTCTTTTTCTCCTGTCTTCGAGGTGCAACAAAAACACCCCCACTAGAGGTGTTTGCTGGTGGTTTCCAGCGAGCCAAGGGCAACAGCCCCCTCCGTTTTCTCCGACTGTTTTATGACACACCAAGCAACCCAAACACCCCCTGCCACTCCACTACTGCGATGAACCACCAAATCGGTAGAGGTGCTCCATATTCTTCTTTCTTCGCTCCTGAAACAATTTCATACTTCATCATTTCATGTTCTTGATAGAAAACCCCAAAATCATTTCATGTTCTTGATAGAAAACCCCAAAATCAGAATTAAATACAATTAACAATCAATTAAATGAAGCAAATTTAGTAAATGAAGAGATTGAACAAAATATAAAATACATATGAATTTCTATAATTGTAATTATATTCATAAATGAATACACTTCTGATGATGTAAATCAATAGAACGAAAATTAGATGAAAAGGTTGAAGGGAGTGTAAGGTTACCTTTGAGCTTAATGGAAAGGGGTTTTTTCCCAAAAAAAAAACAAGAAAAATCAAAGCTTCCAAAAAATAGCCAATTGATCTACTCAATCCACAATCATGCTCCAGATATCCCCCACCCATCACTATCCCAGGTTTGTATTTCAACTTCGTCCCTATCAATTCAACGAGTAAATCGATTTCAAACTATCGTTCACTTTGAATGAACATAGAGTTAACTTCAACTACAATAAAAATTAGCCCTATATTCTCTTCAATTTCTATTTTCCTAGTACGTAAACAAGAACATTCAAAAAATTGGAACATGAAATTAGAAAAAGAAAGAGAAAACCTAGGATTACCAGTTTCGTTGATTTCGACATGACAGTCATCGGAGATTGTCTCGAGAAGGCGGAGAAACGAGACCTCATGAGGAAGGAGTCCAAGCCAGGTGGCATCGACACAGATATCATCGATTAGAATCGGTATTGAAGCGAGAGGTGATAGAAGTAGTCGTTGCCTTAGGTTTTGACTACCTTTAAGCTTCATATACGATACCTTCCTCATCTTTTCTTTTCATTAACAACACCTTTACCCTAACCCTAGCGCCGATCTTCGCTGGACTTTCTTCTTCTGAAGCGGAAGCCGATGTCGGATCGTCGATGATTGCCGTGGAACTGGAATCCAATGTCACTGATTTGATACGTGGATTCAAACCTAAAGTTGGGGTAAGACGGCAGTGGAGCGATCGACGGGAAGAGAGGAAAGAAAAGGGACCCGAATTCATTGAGAGAGGCGTTTATTTTGAAACCCTAGAGAGAGATCGAGGGAGATAAAGATACGGGATTATGAAAGGAAAGAGGAGAGAGGGTGAGAAATTGTAGGAAAAAGGTAAATTTGCAATTCCTATTATGCCCTTCTGGCAATTTAAAAGTTACACTTTAATGCCTGTAGTTTTAGAATTTATCATAAATCGCCCATTTAATAATAGCCTTAGATCTAAATATTTAAATGGTCCAGATCTGTTCTCGCGTTCTCAACCTTTTAGGTGTTCTCACTTGATCCTACTTTTATATATATATATATATATATATATATATAAGTGGTACTAAATTGATATTATTTTTCCGTTCCGAACAATAAAAATTATACCAAAAGGAGAAGTATAATATTAATAAAAATACTGTTTTTGAGGCATTTCTTTGGCCATCTTAAAATAAAAATTATACCAAAAGGAGAAGTATAATATTAATAAAAATACTGTTTTTGAGGCATTTCTTTGGCCATCTTAAAATATAATATGATAAATCAAATATCTTTATAAATCAAATTTCTTTGTTTATATAGGTTTTGTTACTAGATTAAGACAAATATCAAAATTAATAGAAATGTTTATATAGGTTTTGTTACTAGATTAAGACAAATATCAAAATTAATAGAAAAAAACAATTAGTGAATTTCATATATCATTTTTTAGATGAATAGAAAGATGTACAGAAAAAAAAATATAAAATGATATTTAACAAAATATAGAATGACTCTTCAAATATACTCAAGGATTAGAACCAAATGCATACAATTCCCTGAACTCCATCTCCATTTTGTTACTTATTAGAGGATAAGTGTCAAAAATCAATAGAGAAATTAAAAATAATAATAATTAATGGATCCAAATGTTAACTTTTTAGATGAATAGATTTTTTTTAGATAAATAGAAAGACGTATAGAAACAAAATTAATTTGTCTAGTATATACTTAAGCATTAGAACCAAATGCATACAACCCTAAACTCCATCTCTATGTATGTTTGATCGATACAATACTATTCAACAATAAGCCTAAAATGATGTATTATATACCAATCACCAAATGTATATGCGAGAAAAGAAAAATATAAGAATAAAAATATTAAAAAAAAAACAAAATCATCAAACCAATTTGAGTGACATGTCTCAAACCCTCCCATTAGTAACCCCTCCATATCCGTTATGCCCATTGCTACCATTACTCATCTTCTGTGCTTTTTCAGCCTTCTTCCTCCTCCAAACCACAAACCATGTGTAAGCTTCCAAAACCAGCGCTACAATGGCTACCCCTATGATAATTCCTGTATACCCTCTCTTCCATTTCTTCTCTGGGTTCAAAATGTCAAAGCCTTTGAATATATTGATGATTCCAAGAACAATAATGCTGTATCCAAGTGAATGATGATATATATTCCAATATATTCTGTATTTGTGATCCTTCTTTGGCCTCACAAGCAAAGCAATCACCTACACACGCATATATGTACACAAAATTCTTGTTAAAATAACAACATTATTGGCCTTTCTGTTTCTATAGTTAATTAAAGTCTTTAAATTTTTTAATATGTGTATATATGACGTTAGAGAATTATCTAGAAGAGGTACCTGGAGGGTGGCCAAACAGAAAAGGATGATGCCGATGACTCTGTGGGAGGTGAACTGGATTCCCGGAGATTGGCTTCCTAGCCGGATTCCGGTGGCCCAGCCGGCAACTCCGATGATGTATCCAGCGGTTTGGCAAGTAACATGAAGGTAAAACCAAGCAGGGTCGGCTGATTGAAACACTCTTACATATCTTGCCAGTATAGCCCCTAGAGGCATCATAATACCCCAGCTGATTGCATTAAGTACTCCATGAATCTGCACATATGACGTCCAAATCAAGTTAATTAATAGCCATAGCATCTCTCTCTCTCTCTCTCTCTCTCTCTCTCTCTCTCTCTCTCTCTCTCTCTCTCTCTCTCTCTCAAAGTTTCAGAACTTACATTTCTTTTCTTGTTTTTTGAACTGCTTCCGGCTGCTAGAGCACTCCCAGACTCTCCTGAAAGAACATTTAATGATGCCATAGATTTAACATTATTACCAGTGGTAGCATGGGCCACAGGAGAACTTCCTGAAAGCTGACCATCTTGCCAAACTTGATTCAGGTTCGTGCTCGCATTTTGCAGACTCAAAGTAGCAAAAATAATCATCTCATTGTTGGAATAAGTGGCAGATAAGTCAGAAACCGGGAAACTCAGGTCGCCTTCCTGCAACTGCGTGGTGTAGCCTGTAACAGGCGCCGTGTACGCCCTCATCTTCCCATCGGATTGCTGGAAGGCCACAAGTGCTTGTGAGCCAATCATGCCTTGAGAAGTTGGATTGATTGCCCATGCGATCCATCGTGAAGAACCAATGTTGGTGTGGCGATATGCGATTCTGAGTGTTTTGGAAGATGGGTTGTATGTATAATGGAGAAAAGAGTTTAAAACTGGGAGGTCATTGCAGGCACTGAAAACCTTGTTGCTTGCAAAGGCATAGGTAGAACAAGTTTGAGCAAATGATGATGAAAACAATGTCGTTATGGCAAATGACAAAAATACCCCTCTTAGCCCAACCCCCATTTCAGATTTCGTTTGTGTAAAATCTTTAAGAGATAAAGAACAAATCCAAACACTCTCACATCACAAATCTTGATTTGTCAACTGGTGTAGTTTATATAGGTGGGGGACGTGGGGTAATGTGTTAGGTTAGTTTGGTAAAGAAGGTGAACAAATATTCAACTTTTTTCAAATAAAACATATCAGATATGCATTTACAATTTTAGTATATCTAAATTTATTAACCATCGTAGACATATTTAAATTTGTTATATGTGATTTATATTTTTTAATTACTTTATCAAGTAGTTTTATCAACTAGTTTTATAAAATATTATTTTTTTATCGGGTAACTATTAACTTTTTAGCTAAAAGCTTGGTTTATAATTATCAATTAGCTTTTAGGGCATCCGCAATGCATTGAACTCCATAAAGTTCAATGAATTGTCACATCATCTTTCTATAATCCATACATCTCTATCATTTTTTTCGTACAATGTATTGAATTCTACAAAGTTCAATAAAATGTTAAAATCTGTAAACAATTCCGTGTGAATACTGAAAACCAAAGTCGGTTATTCATTGATTAAATTACGGTAATTTTTAAGATGTTATCGATTCCAATGTAAAAGCAATATTATAACTTTCTATCAACATCATGAATCAATGGTTATAGGACTAAAGCGAAATCGACAACTGACCTACAGGGCTACATTTATAATTTACTTGAAACATACTAATTAATAACATGATCCTCGAATGGTAAAATGTGATTTTCTGTACCATGATTTGAAAAACAATTTATCTTACTAGTGAGTCCCTACCAAATTTGAAAACAACGTAACCTAGGAATTGTGTTTTGAGGAAGATTAAAAAGTTGTTTCTCTTTAAATCTTCATGTTCAGTTTTTTCGCTTTGATCATAGAATAGAGATATTAATTATAGTAACAAAATCAACATGTTTTGCAAGTGTTCAAATTTATTACAAACTTGACTATTGATGATTTATATTTACTACATATAATTTATTTATCATGATTTTTAAACATCACAATAATCATTTTGATCGATACACCTCATATGTATTATCATGTTAAGTACTCTAGTATTTTATATATCATAGGTACTGTTGGCGAGAGCGATTTTCGGGATTGATTTGTCAAATCTTCCATCTCCAATTTGGTATATATTCGATAGTTAGAGGTTAACAAATTAAGATAATTTTGTATTTCCATATATCTTTTATTGTACTCTTGTATATATATGTTTGTAATCTTCTTGTGGAATGATATAAGAAAATTTCCATGCATCTCTGAACCCTAATTCACATGGTATCATAGCAGAGTCGTACGTAACCTACCTAAACCTTTCTTATTTATCAAGTCAGGTATGTATCATGGGAGATAGGGACCCTTGTGTCATCGTTAAGAATGTACAAGATGCTCCCTTTCCCATCGGAATCATCCTTGATGATTTGAATTACTGTCTGTGGTCACAGCTGATGGAGATGTGCATTGGAGCAAGAAATAAGACTGTATTCCTCACCAAAAAAAGTCCACAACCCACATATGAAAAACTAATAGAAAACTGGCTAATCGACAACAACCTATCAAGAGTTATCTACAACAACAGGTCAAGAGTTGGCTTATTCATTCAATGAGCCCCTCATTGATTCAATGGTTCATCCGACTTTAGACAGCAAAAGAAATTTGGGAACGGTCGCGAAAACCTTCTACGATGGTTCTGACGAAACACAACTATTCGAACTAAATCAAAGATCATTCCCAACTTGACAAAACGGTAGACCTTTGCCCACCTATTACAATGAATTGGTAAACATATTCCATGAAATTGACACTCTCATTACAACTCAAAAAGAAAGTGTTACACAAGTCGTATCCCTTCATAAAACTCTAGCCTGCCTTCTTGTTCACATCTTTCTCGCAGACCTTGATCCAGAATTTAACCATGCCATAAGTGAAATTCAGAGAAAAAGATCCCCCTTTCGATCTTGAATCTTCCTATGCCTATGTTCAAAAAGATCAGAACCAAAGAAATACAATGGAATAACCGAAAGTTGAAATTGATGGAGTGGTCCAATTGGTAACTAGGAACCAATTTCAGAAATGAAAAAATCTTAATAATAAAGGAAGCTCTCTAATATTCACCCACTGTGGATATGCAAAATGGTGGGATTTCTCGAAGAGGCCAAAGAGAAAGATAGGTCAAGCATCAACTCCTATTGTTGCACATACTGAACAAATGAACGAATCTGATATGTATAAAACTAACTTTGCTATTGATGTGTAACATCCCAAAAATTTCAACAAATTTAAACTTTTTAAAGCATATCATTTATTAACAAAAGTATTTACAAAAACATTGTTCCCTGAACATGATTTAAAACCAGAGTCTCCCAAGATCCAATCTGATGTAAAACCAAGGATGTGTACGGTCACGCCTTCACCTTGCCACGAATCATCTGAAGAACCTGAAACCATAAACAAAACTGTAAGCACAAAGCTTAGTGAGTTCCCCCAAAGTACCAACACACAAGCAGATCACATATACAAATAACAACATGTACTAGGTCCACATCTAATACACCGAATTACCCCTGAGCCCGCAGTATGAGTCTGGCTTGCCTAACGGGCACACAACTAATATTTGGCCTACTCTTGAGCCCACATCATAAGTCTGGTTTGCCCACGGGGCCCACAACTTATGTTTGGCTTGCTCCAACCTAGTCAGTCCTCGGATTGGAATTCCAATGTTCAGCCCTCAATATGATTCTGGCATACCAACCAGGTCCTCAGCTCGTATCTGGAATGCTACTGAGCCCTCAGTATGAGTCTGGCATGCCCTACCCGACCCTCAACTCATATCTGGATTGCTCCAATATCCTCAAGCCCTCAGTACGAGTCTGTCATACCAAACTGGTCCTCAGCTCGTATCTGGGATGTCATTGAGCCCTCAGTATGAGTCTGGCATTCCTTACCTGGCCCTCAGCTCATATCTGGAATGATCCAGGGTTTGATGGCTACAACACGAAGCAGTACAACCTCAATCAAACACAATATGCCGACAATAACTAACATATACAGATAATCGTGCGGACAGAAACACAGGTAGTCCTACTAATCTACCAGACTAGCATATAAAGACTAGCATGCATATCCATTCCATATCCAACATATCAACAATATCAGGTTATCCAACCAATGGGCCGGCCTTGGTGCCTTCGACCCGCAAGTACAGTGAGGAAAACTCACCTCGAACTTCCGAATCATGTAGACGATCCCTGGCTGTTGGCTGACAGATCCCCGAACCGCCAACATCAAGACAATACCCCATCAACATCCGACCCCACAAATAATCTCTGACTACAGATCCGCTATAATCCATGCGCTATCAGATACTGCAAGGACAACCCATCAACATCTAGCCCTTGACTCACACTATGAGTCCAAATTTAGGTAAAAGACCTTTTTACCCTTCCATAAGCTTAGCCCAAAGCTAAGCCCAAAGTAGATAACTAAAGGCCCAAAATCCAAAAATAAACGTCTAAGGCCCAAATATGGCCCAATTTTCCAAATTGGGCCTAATTCCTTTCATGTGCCTTTGCCTAATGTGACAACCGTCAAAATTCGAGTCGGTTCTAGATTTGAATAAACTTAGTTGCACATATACGCACGACACATACTGGACTTAGTGACTAGAAGCTCAGTTATAACCTACTATAAACTTGGAAGCAACTGGAAGCAATGGATAATGTACTTAGATTTCACATTGATATGTGAATTCTACAACTACTTAACTGTAGAGGCTATCCATATTCGGGTCACTCTTTGACTCGAACACCTTTTCATGAATCATATACACACATCATGCACTTGACCTAGAAGTAGAAATTAGGTCAAAGTCTCATAGAAACTTAAGTCAAAGTTGAAGACTAGGACTAGTATACTTGATTCCTCAATTTCGCTTGAATCTCGGAAGCACTACATAGAATGCCAATAAACCGATAAAAATAAATTACAAACATTATTTATAACTATAAAAGAGTTATAATACCATAAGATAATTTAAAGTCTCAAATATTCTATTTATTTTGATATCCAAATTTTTACAAACTCTCAAAAACCCTAAAAACCCTAAAACTTAAGTTTTATAAAGTTTTAACATCAATAATTCTATAAAAATAGTTATGAAACTTATAATATTATCTTAAAACAATTAAATTCAGGGAAATATAATCAAGGAAAATAAAAATTTAAGTCATTAACATTCATCCTTAATTTATAAGTCAAAAATCAAGGTTTCATGAATAAAAACTTGATTTTAGTGCACATTTTATATAAAATTTAGATATTTTATAAAATAACTTAAATTTTATAAAACAAAATGAATGAGAAAGGGTTATTATACTCAAAATTTCGGACCCCTCTCTCCCCATATCTCTCTCTCACACTCTCATTCTCCAACACACACATCTCTCTTCTTTCTCTCTCTAGAAAACTCTCTCTACCTTCTCTCTACTTTTTCTCTCCAAACACCACTCCATTCTCTCTTCCTCCCTCTAAAGAACCAAGAAATATTCCAGAAAACAAACCCAAGAACACTCCTCAAACTCGAAATCTTCATCATCTTGTGGTATTCTTGAAGGTAAAATCAATTTCTACTTCACTTTTCCTTCAAGTTTTGCTCTTTTCTTACACTTTCTCCTTCTTCATCTTCTTCAAACTTGTTTTCTTTTTGTTAAAATGGTTTTTAGAACATGATGGATGTGTTTTAACACCATGCATGTATGATAAACAAGGTTGCATGTTCATGATCTTAGTGCAAAAATCGATTTTAAGGATTAAAACATCAAACTCAAGTTAAGAGTTTTTGAGAAACAAAATTTTCTTCATAAATGCATGTATACATTTTGATAAGTTTTAATCTTTTGATCTCTGGAAACATGACCAAAATATGAGGTTATCATGATATATTTAAAATACTTCAAAAGGTTTACTCAAGGAAATGATGAAAACCCACTTTTCTAACCAATCATCATGCATGCAATCTGCCAGATTTCTTTACCTGACT